ATATCTTCATTATATACGTATATATTACTGCTCTGTTTCTACAACTTCAAGATTTTGAAATGCAGCCCATGCTGGCGGCTAATAGTCTATCAATCTTTTATTTATTTATTTCAAAAACATACAAGATAAAGAAGTTCAAGCAAAACAATATCAGCATTGGATAATAAATATCCTAAGTGTGTTGACGACAATCTTATCTGACCTAATCTTGCACTATCCGTACTCACTGATTTTTATTGCGCTATGTAAATATCACAGATATGAACTGATGAGGAAGGTTCAAGAAGAATGTAGAGAACGATTGGATTAAAGATTTCATAGTGTATTTTTTTGCTTCGGGTTAGAATTAGAACCTTATAAGATCCTTGTTCTTGGCAAGTCTTTAGTATTATACTATTATACGAGCGTAAAAACTTTTCTTATTATGTTGGATTTATTATCAAATTTAAAATCTCTTTATATTTGGCTTTCTGCAGCGTATAATATTTTAATTGACTATAATTTTATTAAACTATTTGACAAGAATATTGAAGTCAAATAAATGATTTCGGAAATATGTACATAATTCACATCTCATTTCTATATATAGAATAAAAGATTCGAATAAATTTCGTACTCATTTCAGTGCAAAGGTCAATTATCTCTAATTTACTGAGTAATAACTAAAAAATTTAAAAAATTTTATCATAAAAATATAAATGTATATGAAAATATGAACTTAACTAATATAGTATTGTAGATCTTATTTTATCACATATTATCATAAATTCTTTAATATGACATAAGTAAATATTTTGGATTCTTGTTGTTGTTGTTTATATTTTTATAAATGTTATTTATATCTTCAGAATAAATAAAGATATTAATTTAAATAATGAACACAAAGTGAACACCATTTGCATCTTGCAAGGGGACTTTTATTAAATTTATTAATCAACACTTTACTTTTAATATATTATTGAGCTAAAGATTATTGAGCCTTCTTATGAACGGCGCAGTGGAAAGGAAAGAGAACTATATTGGTAAGAGTTATAAAGCTATTACAATCTAAAGTGTTTTAAGGGACTAACAACCTAAAACACTTCAAGGATTGCATATAGGACTAACAAAGAATAACTTAAGAATTATTATGGAAATATTAACTGGTCACTGTAGATTGAATAATCGCCTAACAAAGTTAAGAATACAATCCAACTCAGACTACAGAGACAACTGTAGAGAAGAAAGAGAAACCGCATACCATGTGCTAGGGGTATGACCCGCACTGATGCACAAATGGAAGAAATTTTTAGGAGGTATGATACACCTAATAATAATATTAATAATAAAATATTCCTAATCTTAGATTAGATTTTTATGTCTTGACTTATAGTTCGCGTATTAAATCAAAATTTTCAGATCATAATTAAAATATTAAATAATCAAATAATAAAATAAAAAAGAATTCGTTTGGGACGCATCAACACATCAATGCTTGTCATATAAAAAATATATATATGTGTTCTTCTACTCTATATATTTTATAAGTACAAACTTTTGAAACTATTTTCTAAGATAATAAATTTAAAATTAAATTATTTTCAAAACATGAAAACAAAATAATAATTTAATAATGCAAAGAAAACAATAAAATCAAAAAAAAATAAAATAAAATTTAATTAAAATCAAACTGATTGGAAATAAATATAAAACTGTCATCCTCAATTTTATGTTTAGTTTATTTTATATTTTCAAACTATATTTGTTCTTCTATAAACGCTTTACGGTTATTGTATTTTATGTTTAAATTCCGATTGTTTTAAGGTTAAAACAAAATCATTAGTGATTGTTCAAATCAAGACGTAAAATAAGAATCTAATATTATATTTTTATTTTACATTCCTCTTCATTATTCTGATCATTTATCAGATGAGTAATATCAAATTCACTCCACCTTTATGTAAGAACCGCTGCTGAAATGAAACCACCATAACAATTTGTTTACTTTTTTACATGCTTTGATTTGCTTAAATTACTTAACATTCGATTCATATATAACAAATTGTAACAAAAGCTGAAAAAAATTGTTATATATGTATATATATAAGTGTGTATACAAATCTATATTTATATATATTACATTTTGTGGTGTATTTCAACTGTGAGCAAGAATAAAACTATTGTGGAGAGCATGTGAATTACGTGTGAGGAACATCAAATTATTAAATAATTAGTAAGAAGTCATTAAAAATAAAACGTTTTAGTTCAAAAATTTCTAGTAAAAGTAATCGAGAGTGAAAATAAATACCGTATAAACAAAAAGTAGTTCAAATAAATAAACACTCCAAATGCTATAATTATTTTACTTTTACAACATACTTTCATAGGTGTCTTACAAATTTTTAATGAATATATAACAATTAAAATAAACAAGAGCTCTTCAATTGTATCGACTTTAAACTATTGTATGTTTTTTTTAAGAGTAAATATCATTTAATAATTACAAGTGTGAACAATTAAAATAGTTAGAATTTTCTAATATGTAATTCACAAATAAGAAAGTATTTAATAAGATATATAGAGGGAAAAATAATGCTGTAAAAGTTTTTAATTTTTGCAACAATTTTCATAAATTATTGTTTAATCATTTAACATTTTAACAGAAAAACTAAAAATATATTTAAAATGAATTGCTTTGACATTTGGGTGTCATAGGAAATTCTAAGTAAAAAAAATAACTCATACGCACTGTCTGGCCACAAGTGTTGTGCACACCGAAATTGACATATGTTTTATGATCTGAACGAAGTGTCACACAAAAACACATTGCATATGAAAACAAATAAAGGAATTTGTTTAAATAACTGTGTACATAAAGTTAAAATTTGTTTACTGTATTATTTTACATTTTGCAATTAAATATGCAGTTTATATGGTGAAACGTGGTAATTGTAAAATTCTTTAAAATTTGAGGGTAAAAAAATTTCAACGATTACACAAATTTTACAAGACATGCTGTTATTTAATAAAACATTTAATTTAATTTGAAATTATATATTCAATTAATTCAATATATTATATAAAAATAAAATAATAAAATATTTATTTTTTTAATCATATTTTTAATTATATGAAGGTATTAAAAGTAGTTAATTACTTAAAAAGATTAAAAACAATATCATTTTAAAAAACAATTCCAAAAATATATAATATTTTTAATCTAATCAATTATATAAATTTTTAATTATAAATTTATTTTATTATTATTAAAAGGTTTTTCGAACAGTAGTGAACTACAACAACAAAAATTCATTTTTTATATTTTTTTAATTAATTGTATTTTTGGCTGACCATACAGCTGTTACGAGTATTGCCAAATACACATCATCAGTGGTCTTGAAAATAATTCTTGTATTTAATTATTCGTAAATAATTTTTTTGGGACTGCAAGTACCAGGAATCGAACTCGTGTCCTGTCAAATTTAAAACTCAGAGTCAGCGCACCTTAACCAATTGACCCAAAGCCGTACTTGACTTTTATGTTAGCACATTTTTCTGGAGTTTTGTTACTTTATTATTATTAGAAAAAATAATGAGCTATGGAACCTTTACTGTCAATGTTTCAAAAAGTCTTTTAAGTTAACGTATACAAATCAAGACCAATGATAAAATTTATATACATTATTTAAAAATCTAAATTTTATTGAATATAATAAAAGTCGGATGAATACCTTGAATTTGTATCTTAACAATCGCAGTATACGAGCAGATAAGTTGAAGTTGAAGTTGTATCCCCGTATCATAATATATATATCTCTCAGTGCCGTTTAATCTTTACCTTAATAATTTACATTATCTCATTCAGTAAGAAATCAGTGTTTTATACAAGTACAGATATCCGTTGGGATATAAATATTTTGTATTCAATTTTTCTAAGCATTAAAGCTATCTGATATTTAAATAATATTTGAAGAAAAGTCAGATATAAAGTTTCTATCATTTTTCTAGGTTACTAAATATTTATAACTTTTAATCGTTACTTTGAGTGCAATACAGACGATAGAACAAAGCGGATGACGTATCGTAATCCTGATGATGACTCTCTAGGAGAGTCGAAATATAGAGTAAGTATAATAAAAAATATTAAATGTTTAATTATCTAACAAGAAGGGATCTACAGCCAGTTTAAAAATATATAAAAAACCATTTTTTTAAAAAGTTAATGTTGATTTTTATCATCACATAATGCAATTATAATATATAAGGAATAAATCAACCTAAAAATTTTCAATAAATAAACGACAAAATAAATATAAACAATTCTTATAAGGAGTATAAGATGTAATAAATATCAGAATTACAGAATAGCATAAACTATGTTAATTGGTAAGTAAAATACTATATTTACGTTAACTTATTATTATTTTTACTTTACAGATTTTTGTCAAAATGAGACCAATGAAATATGACTACATATGATGTTGATTCTATTCCAAAAGTAAAGTATTGCCGTGTGAATACATTAATCGTAAAAAATTCTTATAGCTGCTGATATCATTATAAATATAAATAAATACATGTTTACAATTTGAAAGAACTAAATTTAAACTAAAAAAATTTAAATATTTAAAAATATAAAATTTATGAATTTACGAATTTTAAAAGACCAAAACCAGTTGAATCGAAAAAATCTGACAGTGAAATATCTGTGACAATTTTAAATATATTTTTAAAAGCCAAAAGTCGTACGGCTTTTGGAACTTTAGTAAAATTAAATTTACATAAATTTATTTAAAATTTAATAAATTAGACCATTAAATCCAAAATCCAAAAATTAAAAAAAATCTTCAAAATTTTCACATAAAGTTTATTCCCTTTCTCAGAACACAATGTTTCGAAATTTTTTTTTAATAAAATACTTTTTTGAAAATCATTATAAATAAATTTATGATTTGAATTTAATTTAGAAATTTAAATGATATATTTTTTTTCTATAAACAGCAACATTTTTGTATTTTTACCTTAAATGTTAATTCCGAAAATAAACTTAAAATTGCAACGAATTTTGCACTTGAGCACTTTTTTTTAATGAAAATTTTTTTAAAACGGCACAACCGAAAAAATTATATTAAATTTAATTTCAGAAATAAAAATTATTTCAAAATGTACGAATTAAGTGTTTTTAAACTTGCACTTGAAACTGCCGAAAATGAACTGCGCGGTCTGAGCCCAGTTCGTCACAACAAAAGTCAGTTGCGATACAAAAATCTATTCGCCGCGAGATCCAAAATTTGCTGAAAAGCGTAACGCGGTAACAGCTACGAACGTTAGCAGCAAACGACGTATAACGAATGAAGTGAATCGCGCCCGCCAATGAAAGTTTAAATAAAGTTAATATCAGTCGACTACAGAATATAAAAAAATTAATAAATAATTAATTTATTAAAAGCTTATTCAAAAGCAAAAATGTTAACAAAATGCTTAGCAATAAAATATATGAGTTTCGCTGCCTGTTTATATGTTTTGCACTTGCGTCGAAAGGTTAAAGATTTTTTATAATGTTATTAAACTTTTTGCTCTTATTTCTGTACTTCCCTTTTTTTTATAAATCTCTTATTTGCTGATAAAAGCCCATTGATAAAATTGCCTACTTTTCTTCAAGCGCACTTGCGTTAGATTAGGCTATTTTACCCTAATTATTACCTAACCTAGATTGGGTTATGTGGAACATCCCAGAGATCCACATAACCCTGTTCATACATTATATGGGCGTGTTGATCGCAGGTATTATAATTATGATAATCACATAATAATAACTACATATTATAATCATTTAAAGGCGAATGTGACTAGCTTAAGCTGTTATCATTTTGTCATAACATGACTTATAGATATTTTTTAGATCTGAACTATTAGTTTATATAGCAACTACATTGAAATCTTGTATATATTATGCACCTAATATTAACTTTAGTCAACTAATTTTAGACATTCCGTAAGAACTTCAACAGATAGACAATCTACATAGCTAGATCGATTTATTTAATCGAGTTGAGCAATAACTTTTTACTTGAATTTTACTATAGTCACGTACGGGAAGAGATCTAATAAATATGAATATTTTATCAGTCTTTATTGTGTTTCATTTATTTTCAAAAACCTAATATTCTTCTTAGTAGATTGTGTAAAAAAATATAAAAACGATACATAAAAAAATAATTGTTCTAAAATGCTTTCAATTGCTTAGTTAGTATCTATTGTTTTTTTCCTACTCTGTTGTTTTCTTAATATACAGGGCAAGTAATATGATATATTTAAATTCTGTATAAAAAAAGAGATTGAAATGTAAGTTTAAAAAGAAAACAAAATAATTTTTATTATGTATCTGAATGATATGGAATAATATTAACTTTTGTTGTGAAACTTTCGATTTAGATTATATTATGATATGACAGTACGTTTACGTGATCACAATTAAGTCAAAAAATATTTAGTAATATATTTCAATTTTTGAAGAAAATCTATACAAATGAGATCCGATATTTGTAAGTGTAAGCATATTAGTTGAACCTGTTTCCTCTGGAAGCCCAATTCAGGCCAATAACAGAGCCAATGTTTGATTGTTTCTTTTTCCTGTACTTTTCCACAGTTTCTAGGATAAATATTTAAGGGACTGCGCGGTTTCCTTGCATGAGTTCCAATACATCATTTTTTTGAATGAGGTCCTAAAAGACTTATGATGACATATGACTTAAATAACTTAACTTAATAATAAATAAAAGTATTAATTAAGGTTTTAATAACATATAGTCTCAGAAATGGAAAGATTATCTCCCTAACGCATAAGTAATGTTAATATAAAAATAAATGAAAGTACTTAATGTATATTGTTGGTCAAATACAGAATATATAGAATATGGTCAAATATATCAAATATAGAAGTTGAAGTAAAGAAACTAATTAAGCAAACTATTAAGTTGACCATGTAGTTAATTTAGTGATGTGATTTAGTAATGTAATGTTGTTCATTTTAAGATGATGTTGTTAGAATATGTTTATAACTAAGATAATTCAAAAACTTTCCTTACAGCAGCTTTAATTAATTATTATATTTACTTTTAATTAAATTGTAATGAAAGTTTTAATGACTACTTTATAGATAATTGTTGGGATTAAATACGCGAAGTCTTAACAACAGTTAGTGCTTTAATAACCAGAAAAGAACACTTAATTCGTATTATTCTGTACATATAACAATAGAGAATGTAGTGAACTGAATTCTATATATCTCACAAATACTCAAGAGCAGTTGGAAAAAAATGTTTCTTTATCAATATCTTTATGACAAACTGTCCTTACGTTGATAACTCGAATGAGAACAATTATCTCTAAAGTGAATCTGTTCAATAATATTTATTAGTTTCTATTTAATAATGTTTAAGCCGCGTTTAACAATCAATCATTGAAAGTTCTTTATTGTTGAATTAACAATATACGTATTCGAATAAATGAGGTAATCAATTAGTTAAAAACGGGATTATAATTACACAATACAAATGAATAGAATAAAATATAATAATAAATACAATACAAAAACGGATGGAGTATTGAAACTAGTGGTATTACTTTCTAGTATAAGTATTCGGTATTTTTTATGGGGTTACTTTTAGTGTAAGCAGACAAACAGACGAATATGGCGAGATCCATTCGTTACTCGAACTGATCGACTTAACTTCACTAACCAAAATAACATATTTTAAATTTTCTATTATTTCACTCTAAAAATTCTAAACTGTACTTAAGAAAATTTAGAAATGGTTCTCGGAACAATAGATTATGTTTAATATCAACATGGTTCAAGAATGCTAATTTCAAGAAACAATTATTGGAGAAACTATTGCGATGGTAATAAAGTAAAACACATTAAACATCTTTTCTGTTTCAGGTGATAGATATCTCATATGCAACCAACGTCAACTCTATCGAGGTCACCACAATTTGTGAAATGAACGAAGTAGTTTAGCGTGAGTTAGTAATGTGATGCGGACAACCAGGATGATGTTGTAGCACAACTAATTAATTAATCTAAGTTGGCGACCATACGTACCTACCCACCAAACGCTAGATTAACTGATTTACTATTACGACTTTAGAGTTAAATATAAAAAAAAGAAAAAATTTGTTTACGTTTTAGAGATGTTTCTTGTTTAAGAACTTTATAGAACTCTATAGATTTGTGAATCCTCACTCACTGATTTACGACGCAGCTTTTCCAAAATGTATACCTGTTAATATACGACTTCATCAATCAAATTTTAAAAACCCAAATATTTATTTGTTTATAAAAATGTTTTCGAATATTATAATTTTATTAACGTATTTTAAAGTAAATAAAATAAAAATAACGTGAAACATCATTTCATAAAAAATGTTTTGCAAAAAATGTGTCAAAAATCGTTGATGACAAACCGAGTCACATGTCTCGGTGGTTTTCAAGTTTCAGCAGAAATTAATTAAGTTTTTTACCTTAAAAATGTTTTTAAATATTTTTACTAATTTACAGCTATACGCATATTGACCATATTGATCTATAAGAGGGGCTGGTTTCAATATCAAAACGAATAATAATCACAAATAAAAATCTATTTATATATTTTCAGGTTTTGCATTATAACGCATCACCAAACATTTTAGAGATTGATTGATTCATTGAGGCATGGACGTGACTTTTAACAGCAGATGACAAGATTTTTTTCATCTTCGCGAATTTAATAACTTTTAATTAATACTTATAATGGGTTTACCCGTAATAATACTCGGATTAAAAACTCGGAAGAGTGAATCTAACGCTAATATGCAAAGCAATGTACTAAGAACGTACGTACTAAGCCGTACTAGACAAGTGTTAGTTAATACCTCTTACCAGCCTATTTATTATATTAACACATTAAATATCTAAATAATTACACAAAATTACAAAGCTCCTAACTATTTGTGTTAATGCAAAAACGTGTTGAAAAATTGATTTATGAGTTCTATTTTGAACGGCATAAATCTTCTACTTAATGATATACCTAACATATATCGATGTTACAAAACTATTTTATGGATAGTTAGCCAGGGAGAATAATTTGTTACAGCAATTTTTAATTCGTACACAAATAAATTAAATTTATCTTAACAATTTACAACGATGAGTGCCAATTAGCAGTTAGTTGAGCTGCTAAAAATTATATACTTCTCTACCAACAACATTTTCAGCTCCAATTTGTTGTTGTCGCAATTTTGTTCAAAACCAAAATAAAATAAAACAAAACTTAACAATTCTCTTAGAGGAACTATAAATTCTTTTATTGATGCTACAAACGACAAATGATTTTATTTGCTTATCGTCTTGATAAGAAGACTAAGTTGATAAGAAGCACTTCGCGTTTATGTGCGTTTATCATGAGCTTAAACCACAACGACGATCTTTTTGCAAGATGGTCACACTAATGCATAGTACACTGAAAAAAATATTGTTTTCTTTCATATCTTAACGCAATAATGGAAACTTTATTAGGTATTAATAATCTTCATCATCATCTACTCGTGTTGAATATACAAAGCAAGCAAAATTGTGCGTTATTTATAAAAATATGTAGTTGAAATTAGGTATGTATGTGGAAATTATTTAGTGTCTTTACTAAAAATCTTTCAGAAAAGCTTCGAGGTAATATGAAGATTGATTTTTAAAATTAGGAGAAGTTTTTCCAAAAAACTCTTTCAAAATATAATATTTCTCACATAAGTTTTTGAAATTATGCCTATATACATATTTAAAAATTTTACCTAATAATTATTATTATTTCCATACTCCATTAGGTGCTTAAGGAGTCTACCAAAGTTTTCCACTAGTTTCTATTTTGTGATATTGCTCTCAACTCGTTAAACGATTTACCCGTCTCCTGCTGAACTGTCCTTCTCCAGGTCATTGCTTGTCTACCTCTACGCCTAGTCTCCTGGGGGTTCAAAGTAAGGCTTACGCAGTGTGTGTTCAATCCAACCATACTTCTTTCTTCTTATCTCGCTGTTTACGTTTGTTTGGTGCGTTATTCTCCATAACTCTTCGTTTGAAATCGTTCTAGACCACCTTATGGCCTAATAATAGAAAACTATAATCTGCATCAAAGTAGAGATATTCGAGTTGATTGTTGATATATTAAAATCAAATTAAACATAACTTATGATTATAACTTGGTATACTTTTTTAGTGGCGGTCATGTAAACGGTATGTAAAAGGATTAAAGCTTCGAGAAAGGTGAAGATAATGTCTTCGCTTATAAGTACACAAATTATAAAACAATTATATATAATACAATAATAATTTTATTTTTATTTTTTTTAAGAAGAAATTCATTATTTTTAATAATTAAAAATTGACTAATAATATAATAATTTAAATAAAAAGGAAATATTAAATTCATTTTAATGTTTACACTAATAATTTATAATAAATATTTAAGTTTTAACAAGAAAGTAATTTTTACAATGTTTTTCACATATAACTCTTTTTTCACAAATATTTGACAAATATGACTCTAATGAATATAAGATTAAATATCATTTTTAAAATAAGTCAATCGATGAGCACACTTTTTTCCAACCAGTTTACAATATTCAATAATTATATCACGATCGTCATTTTCACCAGTTATCTGCAATATTTTAAAAACAAGTTATTAAAGAAGTTAGAAAGCGTCATTTTATTTATTTTATATTTTCTACTCTATTTGTAGGTTCTGAAACTAATGTGTATAGGAATTACCTCCTTGTAAATTCTGCTCCTTATAATGTCCAGAATGTTGTCAATGTGTTTTATTTTAAAAGACTGTAATGACATTTAAAAGGAGCAGAGTTTTATATATGTTTAGTGTACAAGATATGGATTGCTTTTTATGTTAAGGTGATCTTATGCATGCACTTTATTTACTTAAACATATTTAAGAGACAATGATGGACATATTAAAAAATTGTGTACAAGTTTTTTAGACAAAATTCAGTGTTGTGTGGTAATAACTATAAAACTTTGATAAAGATAATAATAATGTTTATTTTCAACTAAATAAAAAAATATTATTTATTTCATTTCATAAAAGAGTTAAGTCAAGTATTGAACTTGTTCTGATTGATAAGTGGAGTTACTTTCTTGTTCATAAACATTTTACACAAAGAGTTATGTTACAAATCAAGGAGTTTTGTTAGCTTGTAAAAATACAATTTTAAATAATTGATTTGCTCGAGATAATATCCTTGTTGTTGCAACTTTTTGTTTGGTTTGAGTATATTTTTACATTTGCTTTGTTTTTTTTTTCCTACTCTAATATATGTCTTACACATTGAAATAAAAGAATAAAATAATAATATAATTAACAGTAGCTGCAATAATGTAAACAGCACAATAATTATTGATGAATAAAATTGCTGTTAAACCAAACTTCGACTTAAAACGCTTATATATATGTATTTTGTTACATACAAATGCAAAGTGAAAACATAGTTACATTAAGATTAAAAAGAAATCATTTTTAAATCAAAAAACTAATCTATTTCAAACTTATCTTTTCAATACAATTAAAAAAAAAATATTTCATGATTAATAACATGTCCATTAAGTAATGCAGACAGCCCTACATAGCCCTACACGATTATTAACAATTATTTATAAGAATTTTTTTTAAATTTTATAGTTTACCTGAATATATTGAGGATAGGTAACGAAGTGACGTTGATTTACAAGTAAACGTACTTTATCCAAGTCTCGTATTTCGAACTTATTTGGATCTTCATCGCTTAAATTCGAATTTAACCGTTGGTATTTATTTTCATCCAATTTATCTCGAATTTCTAAATTTAATTTATTTAGTGTTCTTACTAGAATTACATAATGAAATTTAATAATTTTATACCTTGTGTAAGTAAACACCAACTATATGACTCTGGACACAATAGATAGGAGGGTGCAAGTTTACCTTTGTAACGCATTTTTGGGCAGGAATGTATATAAAAACCCATATAATAATATTTAATAGCATCTACGTGTGTTGATAATTGTTGTACAAACTCTATTTCTCTGCAAAGTTAAGAAATAAATTACGAAAAAAACTTTTTTTCTTACAAAGACTTACCTTAAGGATGCATATGTACCCAAGGATAGAAAACTATAATCTGGATCATAGAAAAAATATACGGAGCTAACACAGTATGGTAATATATCAATTACACCAACTGCAATTAATTTATCATCAAGCCAATATTGCTGATGAAAAGAACCATAACCAGTTGGAGCACCATTTACAGGTTCAATCATCTAAAAATAAGATATCGTTAAATTTACCAATATATTTATACAAAATGTTTTTATGTTTTAATGTATATATATATGTTTGATATACGAGACCTCTATCGGAGACTCCTGTAAAAACTCTAAATAACTATTCACATCCAGTGGTGGATCATTATGTATCAATATCTGATACTTTTTATACAATGCAAAAGTTTTCATCAGCGTATTTCTGAACTGGTTACTATTCACTTCCACTAGAATTAGCTGAAATATATAAATAATTTTATTTTATAATATTAATTTACCTTTAAACAAGATTTGTATAGAAATCGCTCTAATCTATGGTAACTAAGACTTTCTGGACTGTCTTTGTGTATTTGCGTTTGATATTTTGAATATATTCTGAATTCATCAGAATTTGGTTTAATTGTCACAGATGGGACAAGAAGAATCTGTAAATATGATAGTATCATGTGTTCAAATATTATGTACCTCTATATAACGTAATTGGATTATTATGATATCAGATAATAGTATAAATAGTGATAGTGTTACTATCACTTATAAAATGTTTTATTTTATCAAGATTTTGTCATTCTGATTATATTGGTCACATCAAATATGCACAGAAATTTGTACCAAAAACAATCAAAATTTTAATATTGTATTATCATATTTCCCAAAACTATAGCTGATACTGGATATAATTATGTGTATTTATGCGTATGTGTGTAATATCTTTTCTCCACTTTTAAGCCTGATAAACGTTGAAATTGTTAAGTAATTTTACTTTGAATTCATATTTTTAAAATGTAGATATTATAATCTCATGAATGGCCAAGGAAAGGATGTAATATGCTCCGAAACCACAAAATTTCAGCTTTTGATTATATGTATTATTTTACAATTTAAATAAATATAGGATAATAATACAATTACAATATTTCGATACCAATCATATAATTTGACATTTAGTAACTACTTTAAAGGTGCAATTTTATCAAAATATTTTAATAATTTACTTTTAATTATCTTATTATCAAAATAACAGAAAGTATCATTTGATAAATTAATCAAATGATACTTAAATGAATACTACTTAGACAAACTATCAAATCTAATTATTTGCGATTTCAGCATATAATTCATTTCATATTTTACCTTTAGTTTGTGTTTATCGCTGGCAGTTGTATCATTTATATAATCCTGTAAACTTTTTTCTTTATTTTGTATCTTCGACTTAGAAGCCGTTGCTGCCTCTTCAGATATACCTCTTAAAGCGAGTTTGGTTCTTCTACGTTCCAACCGCATTTGTTTAGCTTTCTTGCAAACTGGTCTCTCTAAAGCTGTTAAATATAAAAATGTTTAATTCAAATTATATGAACGTTAATTATATGAACTTAACAAATCTCACATTGCTGTGAACTGTCATTTTGTTCACTATTTTCACATAGTTGTGAACTGGCACTTGTTTTTGGTATAGCAGTATTCGCATCTTGTGAGACATTTTTAATTTGTGCATTTTGTTTATTTTGCAAATTTGTTGTACAGTTTTCACGAGTTTTTGTCACAATATCGGCAAGATTAATATCAGTTTTTGGTACATCAATTATTCCAGATTCTTCGCAATTTCTTTCAGTATCCATGGAATTTTCTATACGTTCTTCATGTTGCTCTTTTTTGCCGTCACGTAAAAAACGATTCATACGCCTCAAGATTTTTTTATGAGTCTTTGTTAATTTAAATTCCAAAGCGTCACATCTAAATAATTTTAACATAAATATAACATGTTATACTTATAAAAAAAATAATAATTAAGCTGTGAAACTATTACTTAATGGTATAGCATGGACAACAAGTTTTTATATTGTCTGGCTTATAACAATAAAGTCCAGCCCGCCGCCAACCTCGATCAATTAAATCCTGATATTCCTGTGGCGTTAAGCCATAGGCATGCATTCCTTAAATAAAAAAAAAAACATTTTAATTGATGTGCTCATAAAACATATTACAAAGTTAATGACATAAATGCGTTGAGGTAGAAACGAATGCCAAAGTTGAATAACCGATGGTGCTTGCGGTAAAATCTATCAATTAATTTATACACAACTAATAACAAAGTTATATATGTATATTCTAATGAGAATGACTTTTCATTTTTAAACAGGTTCTATGTTTGTTTATTTTTTTTTATGCAAATGAGTTTAAAAACTTTTGCTTTTAATCAAAGCCATGTCATCTGTATTATGGTATTTATTTGTGGATATATAATCCACAAATGCCAGTTCTACTATTTTAAATTATTGCTTCAACGACAGCAGGAAATTAAACAAATTTGCAGTATTTCAACTAATTACATTTTAAATATTGACAAATACCAGTTCAAATAATTGTGGACATAAATGGATATGAAATAATATTTCGTTAAGGAATTGGCTTCATAACAAAGTGAGATTAACAAATTTTCGAAATGGCAATCGATGAGTAAAGCAGTTAAATCCTCAATTCTAATGTCAACTGACTCAGCATAACTTGATCTTGCTTACTAAGCAAGTATGAATTTATATTTAAAAGTAGTATTTTCTATCTAATAGCACATATTGAACAAAAAACGTGTTCTATGTATATTTTACGTGATAACTATATCCTATATTTATTAATATTTATCTCTCATTTTCGTTGCTTCTTGGCAAAAACTATTTTATTAATAGCAGTGCATACGTAGTTTTATGCTTACTAAACACGCAATCGCATTCGGCGAAGTGCAGGAAAATGAGTCATATACCTTAAATCCTTTGAATAGTATTTATTTCAATAATTACTTTAGCATTTCATAACCATAGCAAAATCAAAACCTTTATAACTAAAAAATTGTTTTTTTCTGCAAAATATATTTTAAATAACTTTTATTTTATTTATTCTTACCATGTGAATTACTACATTTCACCCCTTTGCAATATCCGCATCTACTTTTTTGATATCCGTAATAGTTAATCAAAGAATAATCCATTGCATAATAAATATATTTTTCAAACTTCCAAGAATTCTATTAAAGAAGCTATTTAAAAGCGCCGACGAGTACTTAAACTTTTCGACTCAGTAATATGAATCGTTCGCCATACGTCAAAATTAAAAGCAGCTGACAGTTTGAAGTAAACTTTTAATCGATAAATAAATTCTAACATACATAGTTGTATTTTTAAAGTATGTTTGGTTTAAACGTTTCGTTTTGTTTACATATAAAAAACTTCTCTCTATCATAATATTGTGCTGATTTTATCAGGTTTTTTTTAAGATAGAAAGTTGAAGTTATTTCTGAATTATATTTCTGAAGTAACTCGATTAATTACTTCTCATAACAACTTTTTAAAAATACATATCATAAAATTTTCGTTCAACGTCTTTATATTGATTACGATTTCATAATTATTGATATGTTTATGACATAAGATTTTTGCGCATTATTTTGGTAATATGTATGTTGCTTAAAAATAAGTTCAATTGTTTTCATATAACATGTTCTCTACATATTGTACATTTTTAAAAATATCTAACATAAAATATTATTTCTTTAATCAGCAAAGTAATTAATTGTATTTACTTCATAAATTTATATATTCTAAATTGCTATAATACAAATTTTTTTCTTATTTATCTAATTAAATATTTACCTTAACATTATATGTTTCCAAGTAAAGCGATTTGAGCATAATATTCTTCTTGTATTGTTTTGCAAACAGTTTATATCGACTATTATTTTTCAATGCGAAATGCTTTAAACTTTGTTGGTATACTTTTTTGAGAGCAGCATAATTCTTGTTAAAAATAATCAATTTTAAAAAACTACTGTGAAAAGTCAACCAAAATTTTATTTCTTAATTTTTGGAAAAAAAATCAATAGCTAATAGCTAAATAGTTAAAAAAAATGTTAGTTTTTTTATTAAGATTTTTATATATTAAATTTAATTTTTTTGAAATCTATTTAATTTTTTTTTTTGTAATTTCATATTGAAGGATACGCAAAGATCACATTACAAAAAAAAACTATACAATATTGTTCAGTAATTTTTAATTCAATAGAACGACTATCTTATTATCTTTCAATATACTACATGTGCATGCTAATAGCTAGATTGGATATTTTAAAATAATTTTTTAGTAAAAAATTTCACTACACAAAAAATATTAGATTTTTATTTTATATATTTTTGTTAACATTTATCTAATACATATAAATATGTATATCAAAGTGACGCTTTATTAATATTCGAACTAAATTTTATATATTATTCCATTAAAAAGCTAAGTTTTACAGGCTATTTCGACTTAAACGTAATCTATATATGCGTCGACTGGCTTAAGGCTCAACTAATTCAGACTTTACCAAATTCTGAAAACTGAAGTTAGTAGTGTGAACGTGGTAAATACCATATCTATGGAAATGTATTCACCCTGCGTACAAATTTTTAATACTAAATATCTTAATATTTTCTGAAAGCTGCTAGCAACCCTGTAAGATGAAAAAGCTCTGCGAACGAAAATATGTGAGTCGCGCATATGGTGTACAATAAGTTTCAACAGCAGTTCAGTTTACCGCATCGTGTCGGGAGTTTGTTGGCGGATGGGTTAGTAAATGTTTAAGTAAAATATAAATAGAAAGCGAAAGGTCGCGCGATACGTTTACAGCAAAAATAATAAAAATGTGTTTGTGAAATAATTAATGATTACTCAATGTTCTGGAATTGCGTATTAATAAAAAAAATATCAATAATCAAAATTAACCGATAGAGAATTCATGTACTAAAATCAGAAAGTGTTGGCTGAAATTTATATATGATTATACAATTTTGTTTTTGTTGCAAACAAATGTTTTGCTTCAAACTAATGGAAAATTAACAACAACCGTTTTATAAAACAAATCTAATTTAAACAAAACAATTGAATAAACATGTAATCCTTCTTTAATGAGTTTTAATTTCACAATTTCGAAACAGTTTTTGTGACACAAAATCGATTTTAGCTGCGACAAGTGCTACGGTCAACGGTCCTAGTCCGAGTTCGAGTTCATTATAATTTTAAATTTTTGGCTGCGTGTTGTTGCCGGCTTTTATAAAAAGTTCACATCTTATTTGTGTTATATTGATATTGTGGTCATATTTTAGGAGTGAATAAACAAACTTATTTTATATATAAGAATACATTACAGTGTTGTCTCTTGAGAAGAAACACAGCGACTGACAACATTCAGCGGAAATCAAAAATAGTTAGCAAAATTTGTAACGATTCTTTTACCGATTTTTATGGAGAAAATATCTATTATTATTATTATTATTGTTAGGGGATGTCGAACTGCGACCGTCGGGACTATTGTGCTTCCTTCTGGGTTGAAACTAGGTCTCTAAGCCTTGTTGCGTCAATAAGAAGTAGTATAGAACTTACTTTACAGAGTTTTATTACCTCTTCCGTAAGAGACAATACATTCCTAAGGGCCTATTTCGTATGTGCATTAGCGCAGGGCATTTTAACAGCACAGGTGTGGTCGACTCTTCATTCTAATATCTAACAGTTCACATAAAATTTCAAACAGTTCACATAAAATAATAATGTTTTACGACAAATTACTCGGAATTGAAGAATTATGTTAGGCTTATAATAAAGGCTTTTAGATTCAATTATTTATACCAAATATTTTTATACGTTTATTGCAGAAATTATTTTTTTTTACAAGTCTAGACGTTTCAGCTTCAGTTCTTTCACATAAAAAATGGTAGGGCTAGTACTGTCTTTTTTAAATTAATATTCTATAAGTGAGGTACTGATTATGTACCATGGAGCTATAGCCATTAAACTTAGTGCTAAAGTGAAAACTTTGAGGTGTTTCCATATTTAAACTGTAACAGTTCCCTATAAATATATTTGCAAAGTACTACCCTAAATATATTTGCAAAATAGAACTACCTTATTTTCTAAACTTAATTTAGACTCCTAACTATCACCACACAGTGTTTTAATTATTGATTTTTTGTCTTAACAAATTTCATTTCACATAAACTGAATTGTATCCATAAAAATCATTAGTAATCCATAATTTTTTCTTGCTTTTTTTAAAATGTTGGATTCTAATTGAGATGTGTTAGATGGAAAAAATAACTTGTGGTCTACATACGTAACAATCATAGCACTATTGACGTTAGACATATTGGCATTAGCCCAAACTAAGTCACATCAAAGTACGTCTGCGTTAACATAAGAAAAAAGAGATGTTTGATTACCAAAATTGACATAAGATAATATTTAATTCTAAGATAGTAGGGATTTAGTTCTATTTGTTTTTATTTTTATAATAGTCCTTGTTGCCAACCTGCAAAAACTTTTTATGTTCAGAACTATCTGTAATGATTATTGTATGAAATATCAAATCAAGTTTTATAAACTTTTAAAATAAACTAAGAAACTTTGGAAAAAGTGTCATCATTTTTACATACAAATTATTTGCAAAGGAAAAGGAATGATTGGTCGGTTATTATATGTAACTGCTAGTTGAAGACTTGAAGAGTTTATGACAGTGAAATCACTCCTAAAAATAAGAAATGCATAGCAATCTGAGAAAATTATTTACTGTAAGAGATCTATATTTTACTTTCTATTTTGATATCGGTTTACTTGACGCTAAAAAATCCGGAATGCTATATCTCTGTCTATTAAGTATATCTATCTTTGCAGAATTATAATATATGTTATCAAAAACAATGCCTACTCCCACATTATATTATTACAAAGTGAACAATAAACAATGATGTTAAACAAAAAACAATTTACAAAATAATAATTATTAAAATTATTTACTCGCGTTGCCTTATTAGTTATCAAAATCAAAACATTTACACTCTGCATTTTGTCATCTGACTGCGCCTGACAGAACAAAATTAACAAAGATGTCAAATTTTGATATTTGGGATGCTGCAGTGTTGATCACTATACTTATAATCTCTGCATCTATTGGAATCTACTACCGCTACACCGGTGGCAAGCAAAAAACCACCAAAGAGTATCTGATGGCTAATCAAAGCATGTCGGTTTTTCCAGTATCCTTTAGTTTGATGGCCAGTTTCATGTCTGCAATAACGCTATTAGGCGTTTCCAATGAAAGTTATCAGTTTGGCATTATGTTCTGCGTCATCAATCTGGCCTACGTTATCAGTACACCCATAGCTGCTTATCTATTTTTACCGGTTTTCTATCGTATGCGCACCACAAGTGTCTATGAATACTTGGAACGTAGATTTGGACACGCAACGCGTCTGGTAGCTTCTTTAGCTTATTCAGTACAAATGATACTCTACATGGGAATTGTGTTATATGCACCTGCACTTGCTTTAGAAGCGGTAACTGGAATACATAAAAACACAGCCATACTAGCCATAGGTTTCGTTTGTACATTTTATTCAACAATAGGAGGCATGAAGGCGGTACTAATCACCGATGTTTTTCAGTCTATTCTTATGTTCGCTGCCATTTATTCAGTAATTGTAGTGTCTGCACTTAAAGCTGAAGGAGGCTTAGGTGCCATTTGGAATGTTGCTGTTGAACGTGGGCGGATGGAAATTAATGAGTTCTCTTTAGATCCCACAGTACGACATACATTTTGGAGTTTAATTATTGGCGGTATAGTTACATATCTATCGCTTTACGGAGTTAATCAGACACAAGTACAGCGTTTATTAAGCGTGCGTGACTTGAAAGGTGCGCAAGCAGCACTTTGGTGGAATCTACCAATATTGAGTACTTTAAGTTTTAGCACGCTTTTCAGCGGTCTGGCTATATTTTATTACTACAGAAACTGCGATCCAGTACTTGAGGGTCGCATTAAATACCGGGATCAAATAATGCCACTGTTCGCTATAGATACAATGGGTAAGCAAATTTAGATATGCTTTTACCAAATTTAGTAAGATTTTACTGTTTGTAAGAAGTTTAGATTTAAACCTCTAATAATATGTTAAGATCTGGTATTATCGCTCATTTTCAAATAGTGAATATAGTTTAAGATGCTAAGAGATAGACACATTTTATATTATCCAAACTTCACTTATATTATCATATATAATTTACTGTAATATTATTATATTAAATTTACGAAGTGTAGCGCCCCGTCGGAATATAATTTTAATATTTTTTAAATTTTAATTTAGTATACCTTTCAAATTCTATTTACAGGTCAATATCCTGGACTTTGTGGCTTATTTGTATCTGGCATATTCTCAGGTAGTCTCTCCAGCATTTCTTCAGCCGTGAGTTCTCTTGCTGCCGTCACATTGGAAGATTATCTAAAACCTTTGTATAAAGTTTGCTTCAGAAGACCTATGACTGATTCGAATACAACTTTGCCATCAAAAATTATAGCCTGTTTATACGGCATAGTCTGCGTTGGTTTAGCATTTGGTGCTGGTTCACTAGGTGGCGTTCTTCAAGCATCTCTGACAATATTTGGAATTGTTGGTGGACCTTTATTGGCATTATTTACGCTGGGAATGTGCACTACGAGATCAAATCAACGCGGTGCGCTGCTGGGTTTATTAATTGGTTTAATGTTTTCATTTTGGATTGGTTTTGGAGGACCTAAACCACCACCACCTTCATTGCCACTTAGCGTTGATAACTGCACAGCTGCTATTAACACCACAATAAATGCAACATTGTCAATAATAACCACTACTCCTAAGCCACCTGTAGTTGAATATTTTTGGTTGTACAAGCTATCCTATTTGTGGTTCTCTGTGATTGGTTTCATCATAACGCTGGTTGTTGGCTATGCTTGCAGTGTATGGCTTGAGCTCCTAAATTTGGCCGACAATACACAAATCTACTTGAACGCTGCGCGCAAGCAAGTGGATTACGATTTGTTTGTACCGCCACTGTCACGGAAACTGAGGGAAGCAGCAGTCGAAGAGCTGACTAAACTGAATTCCTACGAAGCACGCTTAGTACAATAATTTTTGAATTTCAGTAAGCTTGGTATGGTTTTTTTAATAATTGTAAAAACGCTTAAACTATTTGCAGGATTTAGAATTATTTATAACGTATTAAAATATATATATCAGGCAAGTTTATGTTGAAAAATATTGTTTAATATACTGCCACTTTAACATCCTTCATTGTGGTTCTTTAGTTAAACTAATTATTTTATTTTAAGACAAATAATAGGTATTTTATATTTATTTTTTTATATCAAAAAAAATTTAATAATTTATTTATAATATATTTTATATTAATTCATTTGTTTTTATTATTCTGTTAGTGAAGTATTTTTTAACAGCCAAAAGAAATTCTTCACTAGTTTTTTTAAAAAAAATGTCTTTATAAGAGTTTATATGTTCAAAATACCAATTATTTAAGTTCTAACTTAGTTTAGAAAGCATTATGGCCATATTGGCAATGGTACGTTTAAGAGAGATCGATGATAATGCATCTTAAAGTGGACCACTGACTTCTAAAAATAGTGAATCCTATTTACTATGGAACTAAAGACAATAAACTATTAAAAGATTATTGGTTTTTTTTTAAGCGAAGGTTTATTAGAAATTTGAATTAACTTTTGGTGACTGCATAATATTTTTAAAATTTTAAAAACAATTTCAAAAAAAATTTATTATAATAATTTGTTACCGGGCTAATTGGTCAAATTTTAATATAAATAAAAAGACACTAATTTATTATTTATATTTAAAAATCGTTTATAATTTATTTCCGATATTTCGACTATCTTCGATAGTCATCTTCAGGGAAAACTACACAAAATATAGGATGTTCA